TATACTTGCCTCCTTCCTCTTCAAACTCGATTCTCACAGAAACGAAGAAGTGATCACCTCTTCCCCTTTTAACACTTTACCCCCCCCCCCCCCCCCCCATTATTCACCTCTTTACTTTGCTGTTTACTCACTTTCCTTGACAGATAGAGGCAGCCTACAACACGCTGACCGGACCAAACCTCTGTCCGTCAGTTCTCTCTCCTCAATAAACTGCTGCAAGTAACGAGAAGGATTACCGCATCGTGTCAGACGCAATTTGTCTGCACTCTGCCGCTCATCGGCCTCGTTACAGTGGTGATAGCGACGGGATTCGTCCCACATCAAAGCCCTGCCTCCGGCTCCCAAGACTCCTGCCTCCGAACCAACAAGCCAGCAGACGCAGAACAAATATCACACACAAGAGAGATCACAAGGATCAAGCAAAAGCAAGTTACCTGCGCGTGTTCACACCTGACACCGCTTTTCGAGTCGCTGATAACGCTCTGTCTCCAGCACTCATCAAGTACGCAGACATTCGCGCGTGCCACCGTTAAACATCGTTAATTGGCGCACTTCGCTCTACGAGGGAATTACTGACCCTAGGAGGGAATTACTGAAGTCTGGAAATCCAGTGAAGTGGCATTGACGAAGGAGTCCCTACCCCTCCTGCCGACGGACCACCTGATCCACCACCCCCTCGCACCGACGATCCACACCAGCCTCCGCCACCAAAATACATGTTCCAAGGTTAGTCAGAGTATTGGGTTAAGGCGCAGATTTTTTCAGTTAGGATATCTAAGTGATATCAGTTTCCTTTGATTATATCCATACCACATTGTCCGATTTGCTCCTGTACTGTGCATATGCTTCAGTCTCCCCACTGAACAGAAAATGGCTCTGATGATAACTCACTCCTCGGCTCTTGCCACTTCTTTCATTCAAGTGACTTCCATTCGTGACTTTTATCCTCCCTTTCCCTAACACTCCTTAACTAATTTCTCTTAAATTGCATTTTACAATCTCGGCTGATACCACGTTCGCGTATAACACAGGAAAATACGAACAAGTACAAACAAACGCACGAACCCACAAGTGACACCACACTTCCCTCACTCATCTCCCGTCCCATGTTGTTCCCTCCCCCCTGCTTTGTCTGACAGTTCCCGCACACATAGCAAGCAAGTTACTGATACCATATTATAATACTACTCTCGAATGGACACTGCACTCACTTCATCGCTTACTGTCACTGGACATCGTACTTCCCTCAAACTCCGTGACAGGAATTTCCCGCTGTCTCAGCACAAATGTATTAACACAGCAGTTTTGACACGTGGATTGGTCTGGGATGTGTGTTACTGTTCTCATAGCAACCCTCTCGGGCATCACATGTCTTTGTATCTTGTGTCTTTTGGTTGTTGTCGACGGCCCTATCGTACCGGAAGACCTCCTCGTCTTTATTTCACCCGTAGCAAATTCTCACAGGACAAGTTACCGTTTGTAAATTATCTCAGTCCTGTGGATGTTACTGGTAAGCATGAAGACGGTTTTCCCTCAGCACTCACTCGCAAACGCGAGGCCCATGACGCCTGCACTCCAGAAGTTGCTTCGAAGCCTGAGGACGATCTTCCTTCAGCACGTGTACGCACGAACGCAGCTGATGTCGTACCCCTACATTTTTTACATGGACCACAGTGTTAAATAATCTTTTCAGTAATCTATTGAGATCACTTTGTTTGCCTCCCTACGTGGACTGTAAGGTGCCGGTGAGCGTGCCGATTTCAGATGGAGTATGCGTCCATGCGTTGGTCGCCCTACCCGCGAGGCAGAGGACGGTCATGTTATGTGTTACTAACGTCAATGAGACCCCATTACATCTCAGGCGTGCCACGGGAGTACCTGACTGTGGGATCGCGCGTCTCCCGGTAGCTGCGCTCGACCTTTCCCACGCCCACGACCACCTCTTTTACACATGCTCTTGTCCCGTCGACACCTGCAGCCCTGGACGTTTTGTATACATTTTACCTCCCACAGGGACTGAGGATTGTATTACGTTAATTGTTCTGGTTTCCACTGTTACTGCTGCTTCCTGACTATCCCACGAAATAATTAGACGGCGTCAACATAACACACAAGTCGATTGCAACAATGCTCTGACTGGTCGACTCCTCCTTCCACGAACATGCCAACTTTCGACTCAGCACATTGCGCTCCTCTGGCCGTTTCCCTTGCTCACACACAACGTTCTACCCTTTGACCTCTCCCTCACTGTTATATACATTTCTTTTCCTTCCATGGATGTTAGTATGTCATCTACGTGTCTAATATACAGTTTCATTTTTATCCATTCTGTTCCCTCATTTAGCCCGTTGCTGACGGGCATGACATGTACGTACATACAATACCCACTGTGAGTTTACCTGTTTAATTGTTTCTGCTCATAGATGGCTACACTTGTGTGTATATATATATATATATATATATATATATATATATATATATATATATATATATATATATA